AATTAAGAATTATTGGAGTAGACTTAGAGGAATCTGGACAATTTAAACAACAAACATTTGGCTCAGTCAGAAAGGACTAAATATGCAAAATGCCAGCTGATTTCAGCAGTGTTTTTATTTTTTACTGCCTTTTGCAACCATAATTTTTTTTTTTTAAGCTACAACACTTGGGACAGAGCAGATAAACAGGAAGACACCAAAGTTTGATGGTACTCAGGGATTTCTCTGTTCAGTTTTGTAAACCAAAAATAAAACCTGAAATTCTCTGCTCAGTGTCCTTGATTTCAGCATTTGGGACAAATCAGGGTCTGATTTTTCTTCCCTTGCAGGTGGAATTCCAAGGAATGGTGATAGAGCCAGGAGGGTGAATTGCTCATTTCACAACAGTTTCAGATTCATGTCAAGTTTCTGGAAATAATCCAGGAAAAGGGATGGTGAAGGGCTTCAGTTGTACTGCTGGGAGGAGCAAATGGTTCCATTTATTTCACCCAAACAAAAACTTGGGATTTCTGGGATTGCTAAACAAACAAAGCAGAATCAGTGTTTAAGGATTGTTGTCAGGCAGAGTGAGGAGAAATGAATTTGAACCTTTAAATCAGATTTACTGCCACAAATGTGTGCCAAACACAGAGAGAAAATTCCAGTTTTACTTATGAAAGCTTGGCTGTGATTTCCTAGAGCTGTCCCAGGTCCTGGGGAGCAGCAGGTGAGTGATCCCAGCTCGTTTTCCTCCTTCCCTTTCAGATCCTGCCCTTTCTGTCCTGTCCCCCTCTCTGCTGATCCTGTCCTCCAAGGAACCTTTGGGGATTCTTTGTTGGGAGAAGCCACTTGGAGATGAGCAGAATTTATTAAGGAAATGTCAATTAAATGGCTGAGATTGAAAGGGGAATGAGTGAATTCCTCTTATTTTAGAATTATATTATTCCCTGCACTTTGGAGTCATGAATGCCAAGCCCAATCCCATTCCAAGTGTTCCTTTGTCCACATCCCAAATTCCAGCCCCCATTTGGAATTTCTTGCCCAGCCTGGAGGCCAGGAACCAGAGCTGATGGCACAGCTGCACTGGACATGCAGCCTGTGATCACAATATATTGCATTTATTTGACCTATTTATTGGGGTTTTGTTTAAACTGGAAGAGGAATATTAACCCTTTAATCAGCTTTCTCAGGTGTCCAGACTTGGAATATGGGATGTTCAAGGTGGTTCAGGAGGAATGTGGTTCATCCTGTCCAGTGGGAGGGCAGGACTCACCAGCAGTGAATATTCCTCATTAAATCTAATGGGGTCATGCCAGTGCAAGTTAATATACTGTCACTTAATGTGGTTTGTTAACCTCCCTGTGAAAAGTACAGTGCTACAATGCTGCATCTGCACAGCCTGAGCAAAATGCAAATTTTAACTTACTTAATTGCCACTTCGTTATTCCTTTCAAAGAATTCCTGGTTTTCCAAGTGGTATTTGTAACTTATTTTTTTGGCCCTAATTCTTAAAACTCAATGTTTTCAGGGTAAGGAAATAAGCTGCATTCTGAGGCTGACTCTTAAATGGTTTGAAAATATTAGGCAGCATTTCTAGGGCCTTAAAATCGGGTGACAGAACAAAATGAAGCCTTGAGACTAAAGTTTAAATACTCTGAGCAAGCTTTTTTCTAATTACTGTAGCTTAATACTAGAGGAGTAAAAAAAAAGGAAAAAATCAATATATTTTACTTAGATGAGTTCTCCAAGAGCCTGGTACCACTGTGCTGACTGCAAAATGTAAGTTTGGTAAGAAATGACCAAAAATTAAACTGGTAATTTGAATTTTTCTGTGTTTTCTCATGTTCTGTGTGCAATTGCCACAGCACCTTAGAATGCTGATCACTTGTAGTAATTGTCTTTGTAATTAGGCTGAAATACCCACTTTGCTGTTTTCTACATGAAAGCACTGAAATACTGAGCAGATTTTAGCCAAATGAAGTTTTCCCTGAGTTTCTGATGATTTGCCATGTGCAGATATATGGAAATGTAAGGATCCTGTTCCTGGATCAGTCAAGTTTTTATGCCAAACACTGAAAATTGGGATTAATCCTGATGGATTAAACAATTAATATCCCTGGTGGTGACTGCCAGTGGAGCTGTGGCTGTTTGCACAGGCAGCACAATTCCTTTGGAATTCCACCAATTTGAAAATTACAGCCTTAAAAATTATAGTTACAGTGCTGCTGTCATCTCCTGCAGTCTTTTTGAACGTGAGCAGGGAATCAGCTGGAATTGTGACCTGCAAAGAGATAATCCAGGCTCAGACAGGCTGTCACTCACCTTTCCTCTGCAACAAAGTGAGCAGGTAGCACTGAGACATCTCCTTAATGAAGTGGCTTTGGTGCCTTTTATCTGTGTGAAGGACAAAATTACCAGGATTCTTGCTTAATGATGGTGTCATTTTTTTTTTCCTCCCCCAGTGTTTACAAAAAAAAAAAAAAAAAAAATTATCCAGCAACATGAAAGACTCCCAGCAAAATGGTGTGCATGGTTAAATTAGAAAACTCTGTAGGGCTGTAACATTCAGGTCTGTATTTAAAATGACAGAAAAACATGAAGTTACATCAGTAATAAAAGTAAATTCTGAAAAATGCTGCAATGACTGCTGTGAGATTTCAAATAGGGGGGTTTTTTTTCAGCTTTTTTGAATCCAGAAATCTGATTTTTTCTTTCCCAAATCTGTACCAGGGGTTTTCTGACTGCAGTTTGAGGGGGGCTTTCCTTGTTTTCCAGGATATTCCCAACACATCCGTGAGCACATGCCTGACCTTGCTGTCCAGCAGAACCTGCAGATGGGGAGGCTCTGTGACATCCTGGGTATGTGATCAGCTCCTGCCCTCTGATTATTCCCCCAGCTGGCACTGAAAGAAAACAGCACAAGGACTTTAGTTTGGTGTTAATATTAAATATAGAGTATGGAGAAGCTGGGAAGGAACTGTGGCATTTCCTGGCCCTGTTAGCCATAAAAAATCCTGCTGCTTCCTTGCCCCTCTGTGAGGTGCAGCAGCCTCCTCCCGTGAGCTGCTGAGCACCACAGGGTGTTCAGTGCTCTCCAAAACCAGGGACTCACTCAGGCTCACACAGAGAGAAAGATGTGCTGCAAAAGAGCAAGCCCTTATTTAAACCCTTTTTTTTCTTTTCCCCTTTTAAATCAGCAAACAAGGCAAAAGGCATCTGTTTAAAAGTTGTTTTTTTTCCTGACTGGCTTCTTTTAAGCAAAGCTGGGAATGATATTAGTTAGCAGTGACCAACTGCATTGGCTCCCTGGAATGACATGTTTTACATGATTCATGTATATTTCAGGATCATGATTATTTTATAAATGCCATTTAGCAAGTTTGGAACAAAAATATATTAGAGCCAGAAATTTACAGTTGCCTAAAATAATAATGTAATTGCCTTTATATATTATCTAGGCACTAATATTGGGTTTTTTCCACTGTACTGTTTTATTTTTTTCTTTTTTGAAGGTGGACTTTTTTCGCTGTTAAATGATAGAAACTTAAAGGGACAAAGTCACACATTAAACAGATTTTTTTTTTTCTCGTTTCTGAACATGAAAATTTGTTCTGCTGTAAAATAGACCATGAGGAAGATACAAACTAGTGAAATATTAAGTAAATGATGGACTGGATCATGTGCTTTACCTGTGCCTGGCAGAGGAGCACTGAGATTTTCCATTTTGGTTTGGTTTTTCTTTGGAGAAGCAGAGGATTTCCTCACTTTTGTGACCTCCTGTGGGTTAAGCTGTCCCTGGAGCCCCACTGTGTCCTGAGGAGACTTGATCTCTCTTTACAGGGCAGTGCTGCAGCAGTAAAATGTGCTGCACTTTTTATTCCCCAAATTCACTTGAGTTGTCTGTTTTTCACTTGAGTATTGACTGGTGAATGGTGCTGAACTCTTCCATTAGTTATTTTTTTAAAAGTTGTCTGGTAAATAATTATCTAAATACTCTGCTTGTGGGCTCTGTGCTACTTTAATGCCTCAGGTGAGTTCTGGCCTCACTTTTGAAATGTGGATTATTTCCCTGCAGCTCTGGCAAAACAAAGTCAAGCAATGGGATCTCTTACTCACTTTCCAGCATTTGGCTCAGGGTTTCCTTGTCCAGTCCTTGCTTTGCTGCAGTCCTTCCATGGAATTGCAGTTATCCCTGGCACTTGTGCACAATAAAACAATGCAAGGCTTCCCACTGATTGGGATCTAAATCTTGGAGTGCTCTTTGCCTATTGATGCCTCACGGCCCATTAATTAATTACCTTATCTATTACCATTAATATTTTAAAATACTAACTTTCAATTTTTTTTTTTTTAATTTGAAATTTTAAATAATTTAAAATTTCCCCAAACTGCCTGTATTACAGATTTCCCTTCTGTGTGGACACAGCCCTTCAGCCCAAGCTGTTTTCCATGAGGAAAAGCAGATTTGCACACCGTGCTGCCCTGCACACTGCCATGCCCTGCAATGGTTATTAATGATACCCCACCCTGAGCTTTTGTGTGGGCAGCACAGGAGTAGGAACAGCCCATGGAAAATCCAGGCAGCGTAGAAAATTGCAATTTCCTCAGCTTTCTCAACTGAATGGCTCAGTTTTATAATTTACTGGCATTAATGGGATGTATTTTTCAAGCACTTCAATTCCCATTGATGTTAATGGGAGCGGGGCTCACAAATCCCCCTGCACCACTTCCCAAATCCTGCCCCAATATGTTCTGCAGATTGAATCCCAGGAAGCAGCTCTTCCTTTGGGTCACTGCCCTGTCTTCAGAGACACGCTGAAGCACGGCAGAAAACCCTAAGATTTGGGGATTAAACCCCATTTTTGTTTATTTGCAGGGCATTTTGAGGAGAGCTGTTGGTGAGCAGAGGGTTGGGAATGCTGGCATTGCTGTTGGGAGGGTTGCACCTTTTCCCCATTTTTGTTTATTTGCAGTGCATTTTGAGGAGAGCTGTGAGCAGAGGGTTGGGAATGCTGGCATTGCTGTTGGGAGGGTTGCACCTTTCCCCCAGCAGTGAGCACTGTGCCCTTTTGTTTCAGATGCCAACGTGGACGTCATCTACATCTGCCCCCTTGCTCTGAGTGAGGAGTTACTGCAGTATTACAATAAACTCCTGGGTCTGCAGGCAGCTGTTAGATCTGGGAACCCCGAGGACATGGCTGACCTGCAGGACAGGTTCAAAATTCTCACCCCTGAAGCTATAAACAGCTTCCCTGTGAGTTTGTCTTCTAATTACTACAGCTTGAGGGATGCAGTAAAATTAAATTGGAAATTTTATAACTTGCAACGCTCTGGTACACATCAGTGAAATATTATTGCAAGTTTAAGGGCTTTACTGATTAGACTACTAGTTAGAGCATTGGAAATAAATATCCTGGTTTAGCTTTATAGACTTGCTTGAGATAGTCCTAGATTGGCTATTTGTAGGCTCTTGTCCCTTCTGACTCTGTGCTTGGGACTGGGAACTTGATAGATTTATATCTCTAAGCAAATCATAGCAATAAACCATTCTTATTACTCAAACTTTATCTCTGGCTAGCCCAGCATTCAATCATTGCTGTGTTTGCAGTGGCTCTTGCAACTAAATCCAGTGCAGAGCTCCTTAAAGAACAAAGCTTAAACAAGGTTAGGTAATAATACAGAAATCTGAGTTTCAAACAGATCAGAATAATGCATAAATATGAGCTCTAATAATACAAAAGTGATAGTTCCAGAATAACAATTAATAATAGAGAAATGTTAGTTCCAAACCTGTCAAGTCAGGTTTAAATCCATGTGCTAAAACATGTTCTAATTAATGTACAGTGTGTACAGTGTTTCTGAAAATGCTGCAGTGCAGTGGAGACTTCAGAGTGAACAATAGTTTTATATTCTAGATATTAAACCCACAGTGTCTTGGCTGGCATTTGATTTTTATCAAACTTTGTGGCACATTTAGTGGCTTTACTTGAAGCCTTTCTGCTGGTTTTGCTATTTTTTTCTTTTTAAGTTGCACTTTGACAGTCATAGCAGGTTTTTTTTCTGGATGCTGGGTTATTTTTTCCAGTAGTAACTCCCAACTGAATTAATGCCAAAATCTGTCAGGAGAATGGGCAACACCAGATTTTATGTGAACCAGGTTGAGGTAACCCATGGCTCTTTAGTGCCATTCACCTGTTCATGTGCCAAATCTGCCTTGTTTTCATTTAGTGTGTTCTTCACCATATAGTAATGAATATTTTTAATGAATACATGCTCTGTGTGGAGAGGAATCTGCTCAGAAGTGCTCCTGGTCATCCCTTGGCTTCAGTGCCAATTTGGGCTGTGGAAGGGTTTGAGCTTTGTAGGTTCTTTTAGAGGATCTTTCTCCTGGCTTATTGAATAAAAAGCCTTTATTGCACCTAATGGATCGAAATTTATTCCCAATCAATGCAAGTGTGGCTTGAAGGCCACTTCAGAGGGCTCCTTTTATAGCAATTCCAGAGGCACAAATCAGCCCTGCACGTTTTCCCAGCTGTTTTGGTGGAACTGGATGGAAGGAAAATGTGTGGAAAAGGCAGAGCTGGTCCTGATCCTGCCCTTGAGCTGTGTCCAGCTGGAGGCAGCTTTGCTCTCCTGGTGATCCTGATGCCAAGGGGAGATCTGGGATCTTGGGAAGCTGAAAACAAAACAAAAATCAACAGGTTTGAGAGCCAAGAACTTTCCCCATATCCCCTGTTCCTGCTGGAATCCCTCAGTTCTGCTTTTCCCTGCTCTCCCTCCCACTTCCATATATCCTGGCAGCTCTAGCACTCTCAAAAAGCAGGAATAAAGCGGCTTTTACAGCCTGACCTCCTTAATTAACTGTAAAATCCATTATTGAGGGACACAAAGCAAATCTCCTCCCTACAAGCCCACTGTGGCCCCAGGCTGGGAATGGATCCTGCTCCCTGCATGCAGAACTCTGGGATGGGCCAGCTCCCTGTTTGACCAGTGCTCAGGTAAAGGGAATCCCTGGATCACAACTTCAAATGTCTTGGCTTTAAAAGTGATGCAAGCTAAAGGGCTCCAGGTAACTTGTTTGCTGTTCTTTTCATCCTGAAACTTCTGTAATTCTCTTTTTTCTGCTGGAACTTCGGGGAGTGTCCCATTCCTGCTGTTCTTGCAGGGTGTTCAATTCCTTCACAGAGAGATCTGGGCATTTTTTGGAACTTTGTTTGGTGTGAGAAAGCACCAAGGGACTGACAGAATGGAATTCCTTGTGCTCTTTCCCAACACCATCCTCTCTATCCAAGCAATGAAATCAGGATTTCTACTTCAGTCCCTGGCAATGAACATCCAGGACTTGGGAGGAAAATATTCTGGGTTCTTCAGTGCTGGAAATCCCTGGCAAATCCAGGATTTACATTATCCTGAAAATATAGGGATACTTTTCTGAAGCCTAAATGAGATGAAATCTCAATAGGAAGATAATTTTTTTCCTTGTTGGGATTATGATTTGTTCATGACAATTTACTGCAGTGGATTTCTCTTGTGCAATTTCTCCATGCCTGTCTCATCCTCAGTATATTTTTGGGAAAATAATTGGAATATATGCAGGCCATGCATGGGATATGTTGTTTAAAACATTTTGGAGGTTTCGCCTGCCATGAGTGATATTCTTAATTTAAATTCAAAGTTTGTAGTGTATGTCATGAGCTGCTTGTTCAACTATAGATCTTTTTTTGGGAAGATATGAGAAATTCCTTCCAAAAAGTTGGAACCCTTGTGTTTTAAGAAAAAAAAAAAAAAAAAAAACAACAAAAAAAAACTACTACAAAACTGCTTCCCTCTCCTTAAGTGGTCCTTTAGATCAGCAATCAGAGCTCCTGTGAAATGGAAATGTGCATCCCCAGTAATTTAATGTAAGCACTGAAAGCTTTTGTAAATCAAAGTGTTTTATTCTCAGAGAATCACTTCAAATACCCTGAACTGTATGTGAAATACATTCCCTGCTATAGGGAGGGGGGGGGTTCTTCATTTTTTTATTGATTTTTAGGAGCTCTGGAGTTAAAGCATGCCAGGAGTGTTGCTGAGATGAATCACTATTATCCAAAGGCCAGCAGCCTCTGTGCCTGACAGAAGGATAATTCCACACGGATCAAATAAATACAGATGTGTAGTAATTAGTTCTATTCCCAACGAGGCCATTTCCAACCCACTAAAGATGTGCACGATTATGGAGCCTCACCCCAACAGCTTTTATCAATTTAAACTGCTAAGCTACAGGATAGGTCATAACCCAGCCTGCTATTAATAATGTATTTATTGTGGGCAACATTAGGAATTAGGGGGAGGGGGAAAAAAAAACCACAACAACAAAAAAAAAAACACTTTTCATAAGAATAAATGTTCTCTTTTTGCAGGAGCATCACATGTGCCTGGCCACTGTGCTCAAGTACAGCCCCAGGACCCTGCAGAGGCTGCAGGTGCTGCTCCAGGGCAGGGATGCCTACGTGGTTGGGGGTGTTCCCCACCTGGATGATTTGGCTGTGGCTGACCAGCTCCAGGTGCCACTTTTGGGCTCAGAGCCAGCAGTGGCTCAGCTCTACAGCACCAAGTCTGGCAGCAAGAGAATCTTTGCCAGTGCTGGAGTGCCAACCCCTCCTGGAGAGTGGGACATCCACAGCAGGGAGCAGGTGAGGATTTGGGTCATTCCAATGAGACCCTCATCACTGAACAATGGTTTTGTATTGTAAATATTAAACCTACAGTGCCTTGGCTGGGATTTGATTTTTAGCAAACTTTGTGGCACATTTAGGAGCTTTGCTTGAAGCCCTGTTGATGGTTTTGCTATTTTTTTTCTTTTTTAACTGAACTTTGACAGTCATAGCAGGTTTTTTTTTTCCTGGATGCTATGTTATTTTTTTAATAGTAACTCCCAACTATTTTTCCTGTAGTAACTCCCAAACCTTCATGGTTTTGAGCAAGTCTTGGGTGAGGTTGGGTCCTTTTCTGGCTCAATTAAATGCAGTTTGTGCCCAGGGCAGGAAGGAACACAATTACTCTGGGGTTCTTCATGGGCTTGAGGATATAAAAATGTTTGGTCCAATATTTGAGACAGTTTGTGCTGGTGCCCTCCTGGGTGAAGTCATGAAATTAATCCATTTTACCAGTGACTGAAGATGCACATTTTCCAAAAATGCTTCTTCTAAGGGGAAGAAATCTCCCCTCTAATCAGCCTGTTCCCACTGAGGTTCACTGAGCATCTTTGCAGTTTTACTTTGCAGCCTGTCATTGCTAAATTCATCTCTCTTGTTGGCATGACCAGTAGGAAAATAACAAAACCCTATTGAACCGAAATTATGAGGCACAAGAGGTTTCTGTACTTCCATTTTACATGTTTATTTTGCAGCCAGTTCCTCAGTATTTTATTCTCTAAGCTGATTTTGCAATTTACAATGATATGTCTAAGTATTTATTTTTAAAAGCCGTTTTTATGGTGGTGTTACTTCTCATCCAGGAAAATAATCATTGCTAAGGTTTTTTTGTAGGTGCTTCTGCTGCTTCAAGAGGCTTTTCACATTGCTTTAGTTTTTATTAATCACCTTTAGCACTGAAGCAGTCTAAGCTACACAAATCCATTGCTACTTCTCCAGTAGATGAAATAAATATATGATCAATGACCTGCAAAACAGCTGTTTGATTTATTTGATTCATGTAAATTATTTAACAATACTTCTGGTTCATCCTACAGGGTTATGGAATTTCTCCTTCTGTTGTTTGCTTGTATGAAATATTGACATTTTAGGTTAAATAATCAAAGTGAGGTGACACCATGGTAAAGCACAATTCAATTTTCACTTAAAGATAGCACATAATTCTTTGTGATTGGTACAGTCCTTACAGGATTATTGATCCTTTTCATTACTGTAGGGGGAGCCCTCAAGAAAAACACATTTATGTGATTCTCAAAAGCCACAAATGGAACACGTGTAATTGTATTTTAGGTCAATCTTTTAAAAAAATAAACAAAATCCCTCAAATTACTCTGTAAAATGTAGAAGACTCCAGCCAATGCAACAAGATCTGAGAATACTTTTACCAGGTTCAAAGTCATTTGCAGTTTCTAAGAAGCTAATTGCATCCTGCACCAGCTGGGCAAAAGGCATTTGAAAGCCATTTAAATCTGTGTACATACACAAATAAATAATTAGCATTTTTATAAAGCCTGCCTGGTCCCTCCTCCGTGCATTTATAACCACGGAATGCACTCTCCACTAGGAGAATTTCCCAGCTGTTTTGGCTGGTGCTACCCTGGCACATTTTTGCAGGCAGCATCGTCCATCCCACGTTGTTCCCTGTCACAAACAGTTATGGAGCACTTCTGGAGATCCAAAACCTCGGACAAAACCAAAAAACAACACCTGGGCAGGCAAATTCCTCTGGGCAGAAAACAGGGATGGCTTCAAAGGCAGCTTTCAATCCATACCCAAGCAGCTGTAAGAACACAAACACCTCGGAGAAAATGAACCCAAATTTCTGGATTATGCCCTTTCATGACCCAGAGATGGGGCAACTGAGAGACTTTTTAGAACTTTTATTCCATTTTCAGACAATACAGATATTATAATTCATGCCACTGCAATTAGAGGCCAACTGTTTCCTAACTACAATACCTTACAAGTGTTTCTTGGCCTATCAGCTTTAGCCACACCATGCTGTAAATGCCTTAAAGCCAATCATCTAAAATTAATGCATCTTTCATAGTTCTGTTTCTCTAAAATAATCTAGTTTTATTTGTAAGGCCATCCTTTAACCTTGTTTCTAGTTCCATTTCTCTCTCAACAATGTCTGTCCTGTTCCATGGCATTTCTAAGTCAACATTTCTTAGCTCAAGGTTTGCATAAGGATGCACACTGTGTGTCTTCTGTCAGGCTTTGAGAATTTTCTACAGATCCATTTCCCAGATTTCCCCCTCTCTCTTGGACAGAAAAAACTTCTTGGATGGTTTTGTTCATCGATTGCCATGCACAGTGAAGTACACAGGGCATTGTCACTATAATAATCAATGTGTAGAAACTTATTTTAATAAATAATTACAGTATAGACAGTATTATATATTATATAAAGTATTATATAATATATAATATTTTATCTATAAAATATGTCATAAACTTATTTTAATAAATAATTACAGTATAGACACTGTTATATAATATATATAAAGTGTATTATATAATATATAATATTTTATCTATAAAATATGTCATAATCAATGTATATAATCTTAATAATCAATGTTTATAAACTTAAAGCTCCTTTAGCCAAGCTGCAAAACTCTATCTTTCAAATAAGCCATGTGAGCCTTCTGTCAGGCTTTGAGAATTCTCTACAAACCCATTTCCCCACACGTATTTAGGAAAACAAATGTGAAGCCCAAATACTTGGGAGCATTTTGGTGCTGTCCCCGTGTGAAGGGCTTTGTGTCCCTGCCCTGCAGCTGCTCCGTGCCCTCGGCCAGCTCGTCCTGGACAATTTGGAGGTGCAGCGCTGGCTCTTCAAGGTGGACGATGAGCGGGCAGGAGATGGCACTGCCTTCTGTGATGTCACTTCCCACCTGGAATGCTACTCCTGGATCCAGAGGGAACTGCAGGGACACGGCCCCGAGGTGTGGAGTGAGAGCCAGGCTCGTGTGAGTAACAAAACTGCACCTTCTGTGTTGGCTTGGCTCTTTCATGTCCCCTGAGGTCCCTCCTCGCTGTAAATCTCCTCCCTGAGCCTTCATTTGAAGGTAAATGTTGATACCACAGCCTGGCTTGGCTTCACAAAGCAGCAGTAATTCAAATAAAACAGGGAAATATTCCAAAATATTCCATTCTGAAATATGAAGGAATGCCTGGCAGCCAGCTGTGGAAGGACTTGTGTTGTAACACTGCCCATGCAATCATGGACAGGGGTTTATACATTTTTTTGTATACATTTTATACATTTTTTTTAGTGAGGATATATAAAGGAAAGTTTATAGGCAGCATAGCATAATCTCCACAGAAAATTGGAATTCTTTCCATAGAACTTTGGAATTATTGAAACAAAGATTAATTGGGATAGGGATTAAAATAGCTGAACACCAGTAATTTGAAATCATACAAACTGATTGCTTTTTCAGCTAATTTTCTATGGATTATTTTTCCTGGATATTTTGCCTCATTAATAACTTTTAAACCTGTATGAGACAACAGTTGTAGGTTTTGGTGATCATTAAACTCCTGCAAGTTTTATTACCAGGGGTGTTCAGGTAAGGAGAGCCATCTATAAAAATCTAACTAAAGGAAACATTAGAGCATGAACTGAGGCACTCCTGGATTCCTGAGAATCCCCAGGATTGAGAGGCTGGAAGATGATACATTTTAACTGCAGAAAAATCCATATGAAACCACACTTCATTATTCTGGCATTCCAAGAACTATTTGTAGTTTAAATATTCATTGGTATTTAAATGTGTTAATTTCAATAAGCATTTGATATTTCTGTATATCTTGCCAAATTCATTCCTAATGTAATGGTTTTAAAGCCAGAAGGAATGTATCCAGAAAAATTGTTTAATTTACATAAACTACTCATTATAGCTGCTCTGATTTTTTTTAATTCAATCAAACCGGGTTTGAAATTTGGGGTTGATTGAATTATATTGTATATTAAAATTTCAAATCAGGCTGATTACGGTTCTGCTGCGTTTGACAGATACAAAACAATTCCACATTATAAAACAGAGTTCCTGATAGAAAGCTGAAGGGGTAATTCCTCTGATCTGCAACTCAGGCAGGATGAAGCAGAGCCCTGAAAATCCAGCCCAGTGGGACACAAAGCTCAGGATGTATCCAGGACCTGCTCCCAGCACCTGAGTCAGGACACAAGCAGGAGCCAGCAGCTCCAGCTCTGCCCCTGATATCAGTGACATTCCCTGTTTCTGTGCCTTTTTCATTCTTTTCCTAAGTGCTTCTGCATAAAGGCCACAGTGAGCCCTGACTTCCTTTGGTTTTCCTTTTTACCCCATTTACCTCGAGCTTGGATACAGCCAGTGAGAATCCCTTAAATGCAAACACATGCTGGAAGTTGGGAAATAAACATGGAATAATGAATTTGATCTCATTTCCCAGAGTCAGTAGACAATTCCAGGCCAATGCTGATGTGGGCTTTGCCAAAGTGTTGTCCAGAGAAGCTCTGGGTTCCTGATCCCTGGAAGTGTCCCAGGCCAGGCTGGACAGGGCTTGGAGCAGCCTGGGGTGGTGGAAAGTGATGGAATGGGATTCATGCCTTGGGAAGGCTGAGCAGGAACAGAGGCTGGACAGAGTTCCAGAATAAAGCAGGGAGCTATTACAAGGATCTCCTCCATGGATCCACCTTGGGCAGCACAAGATGAACCCAAATGGTCCCAAAATGCACGATGGTCACAGGGGCTGTCCCTGGGATCAGCTCTGCTCCATGTGCACATTGCAGTTCAGTGTCCAGTTCCAGCTGCAGCCCCTGCAGTCCCATCCTTGTTTTCCTCTCTTCATTCCACGGGGTTTGTGCTCTTGGGCTGAGATTTGGATCATTTGTCCTTGGTGCCCAGCTGGAGCAGGAATTGTTTTGTCTCCCTGCTCTGTGCACAGAGCTCACCATCCCCAATGTGAAGCCCAGACCCACCCACTAAAGCAGCACAGAACCTGCAAAACACAGAAGCTAAAACCTGAGGCATGAGGATGATCCTGAAAATCCCTCCCAGTGCAAACCTTCCTGTGATTCCAAAGTGTGGGACTTGCTGCTGTTTTGAGCACCTTGAACATTTGCTCCAATTTCCCTGCCTTCCACGTTTACCCTCTTTTGAAATAAGGACTCACAGCCTCCCCGAGCCTCAGCATGGAGAGCAGGGGATTAAAACACTCCTTTGTCAGGGAACACCATTGTAATGATCCACATTTAAACATCAAAGCAGGAGTTTGTGCTTTCATGTCCTGGTGCAGTGTGGGGACCTGGTTCCTTTGATAATGAAGACGTCGTGTCACTGCCACACACAAACGGATGCTGGCAGGTTATTAAAAAATTCAGCTTCTTGATGAAAGACTATCCTGCAGGCTAGGAGCACAGTGAAAAGCCTCTCCATTCTGGTGGAATTATTAGAAATGAGAACATGACTGTAAGCACTAAATTATGGTAATACTTACAAATAGCATCATTTGCATAGCAGTTTAAGACAGCCACCCAGATTTTCCTCAGTGGCGTGGAGTAGGCAACAGATTAAAAATAATGGACTTGGTGAGTTTGAACTGTGTGGAAATCTATTCCAGCTAAAAATGAGCCTGATTTTAGATTCCTCAATGCAAATACAACGTTGGGGCAGGCCCAAATGCACGACAGGATTGTGGATGGGTTTCACCTTGTTAACTTAATGCAGCCTCTGAGTTATCTGAACAATTAATTTGCAACTGCAGGAAGAGCTAAATTCATAAACTGCAAAATGTCTCCAAGTCCATCAGCCCCCTCTGCACTGCTCAAGTCTGTCAGCAGAGGAATTTCATCCTGAGGCCCAGACTCCAATGGCTCAATATCCAGAGAGCTGCTGTACTTTTGGCACTTGTGGGGTTGTTTGTGGAGACATCTTCCAGTGTGGAAAAGAACATCAGGGCCCTAGTTGTGCAAAAAAGAAAAAAAAGAATAAATACAATTAATCTGATAAGGAGACTGAGTATCTTGTAGGGTGAATGATTGTAGGGAACAAATAAATTCATTTTTAACATCTGCAGGTCTTCTGCACTAATTCAAGCTTCAGTCACTCCATGCATAGCACAAAAAGTGGTTTTGCTGCTGTAAGAATAAGTGAATAATTTTTTGGAATATCTAGATGAAGATATCCATAATCCTTATTAATATATGGTATAGCTGGACATCTCCTTCCTGCTCCAAGTCAGCAGCTCAGATTCTGGAACATCTCACCCAAACTTTTATGGACCCTTGCTGGGAGACTCTAAATTCATGGAAAATTCTCATTACTGCTGACACAATCTCTGGCTTAGGGGGATTCTGACTTCTTGGAGGCTGGGAGAGTATCCAAGCAATGGATATGCTCACTCTGTCTTCATATTTTCCTTTTTCTTAGGACTCAAACTCCCAAAACTCTTCTCTTTTAGGGCCAAGAGAACATCACCTTCCTGTTGGCATTTCCTTTTTTCTTCTTTTAACAACTCCCTTTATATAAATAACACAGGACTGCAGGATCCCATCCTCTTGTATAACTGTGGAATTGTAGTAAATCACTAGATTAAATTACTACTGAAATTAATTTTAGAATTATCTTTTATTACCCTGTGACTTAATTAACCACCAGGGCAAACAACATGATGTGAGTTTATCTAGCAGCAAGTCTGAAAATAACAAAGGATCAGGCTGGAGACAAAAAGAAAGGGATAAAGAAGAGCTGAAAATCCAGGGATAGAACAAGCCACAGAAAAACAAGCAACAAATACTCTCTGAATAAACCCTTAAAGCTGGTGATAGCTACACAACCATTTCAAAGCCCTCCATCAAATATCTGTCATAGGGAAAAAAAAGGATTTAATGCACTTCTGCAGCCCCTGCTAGAAAAATGTTTGAGTTTTACTCCTCCAGTTGAGTCAGAGGATTTTGTCTCTGTTTCTTTTCCTTACAAGCAGTTAATTAATTAATTCAATTAATTTATTACAATGAGGAAATCAGAACCTTTTCAAAAGGTGACAAATCTGGACAACTTTTGGTCTGAGTCACCTAAAACAAGATTTGGATGCTGCTTGCAGGATTTTGCATTGATTGCTCTTGGGAAATGGGAATGCAAAATGCTGGATATTTCTTTAAATGAACCATTGTTTGGTCAGCTTTTAAAAGTCCTGTAGTAAGTAATAGATGAATTTTGGGATTAGCTGGCAGTCAGGAATAGTGGGGAGCAGATTGTGTCCTGCTTGGATGAATTCCATGTACTCAGATTTCCACATCTTATTTCTTTACTGAGTTCAGGAACTCGGAGCAGGATGTGTGTGCAAACAAATCAGGATAAAACCAATCCATCAAAAATGTAATTTCAGAAACCTGCCACTGCCAGCACACTCCTTTCTGACCCCCTTTGAACACAGCAGAGCTTCCTAACACTGCTTTTTTCCTGAGTTTTTATTAATTGATCTTAGTGTAACACCTAAAGCCCACGGAGGGGGTTCCTAAGGAAGGAGCCAGCTGTGCACGTGGAATTGCAGGTGTGGTATTTTTCCAGCCTGAAGAGGGCCAGAAACTCTGACAGATCCCCAGAAAATGCATTTCCAGCATTTTAACATTTCTTCTAACTGATACCATGTTTAACAGGGAAAGAAAAGGAGCCCAAAGACTTCAGGAAGAGATCAATGATGGAAGGGAGTAGTGCTGGACGTTTTTTAGTGTGAGCAGAGCAATTGTTCCAAATAATTGAAATATTCATTGCACCTGCAAACAACGCTCAGTTTATTAAGATTATCTGCATGTGATGAGCAAATCTGAGGTGAAATAAAGCAGAATTGTATCCCTGGGCTTGGTGAAATCCAGAATGTCATCCCTGAACCACAAGCAGGGGCTCTGCAAGCTGTTGGGCTGCGTGTCCTATTGATTTAATATGCTCCTAATCAGTACATAAAGCTATAGGCCTGCAGTGTTAAT